TATATATATATATATATGAACTTATTTATTGAAACCAGAGAATGTAGATTAGAAGCTTAGAACTAAATATAGATAACAAAATTACCCTCAATGATTAATTATTCAAACTTCAGACTCAGTTTTTTTCGAATGTCATTCATATAAAGAACACGACTCCCATTAAGTGAAGAATTAAAAGTAACGAGTAACTTTTTTTAAAGTTATGCTGTATATCTAACAACAACCTGGTGATACTGTTTTAATGACTCTTCCTGGTGACAACCGATTGAAACTAACATAATTCGAAAACGTTTTGGAAGAAAACATAAATCTACAAAGCTACCGTAGTCATGGCAATCGGTTTACAGTTTTGTTTAAAGTCAAAATAATACTAAATATAGCGTAGAGTATTATGTATAAAGCATTTTATTATATGCTAGCATATTTTCCAGTTCACCTAAAGAACGTGATTGTTTATTTTAATGAGATCCCCTGTGGTTTTATTTCGTAAGTTGTACCGCTGGCCATTTTAGGATCATTCAGCAAGCATGCAGCTGGAAATAGCTCATGATGGTTGAGTCACGCTCAGCAGATTTTACTGAACACCATCATTTATCCCGTCACTGACTTGTTAGGGAATTTTACCTTGTTAGCCAAGGTGAATGTAATGACAGTGTGTAAGGTTGTTTCTAAAGTCAGGTTTCTAACAAACCACAAAACAAAGTTTGATATGTCAGAGAAATATGATTGCTCGTGAACTTTAAAATAGTATTTTAGCCTTAATATTCTGTAAGTAAAGTTAGAGTACCATTAAAATTTGACTTTTTCAGTAGCTCACGTGCTTTAATGTAAATCTGATATTTTATTTATGAATTTAAATAATCAAATGATGTAGAAATCATCATGAGTTTGCACACCATCAAGATGGACAATGAGGAGTGTTGTAATTAATATCCTACTGAGGTGTAGAAATAGACACGAGTTTACATCTCACCGAAGTGCACAAGCAGTGTCCAGATTTTATATTATTTACATTGGCATTTGAGTTGCGCCATCACACACTACTTGTTAAATATTTTGTTCTTGGTTATAAATAATGCGCAAGTCATACAGCGTTGCATGAAAATCTTGATTTTGGTTTTTGGAAATTGATGGTACCTAATATGACTTTCAAAATATACTAGTTAGTTCATGCAAGGTATACAAAATTCATACACATTCTACTTTCTCACCCCAGGAATGTCTCAACATTTCATCGCCTGTGACTATGGCGCTGACGTCAGGTGTATCAAATGTTAGTGTTCAGGTAATAGTCATTTACGAAGAACAAGATCCATAGTGGTTTTAATATTATTTTCTTTTTTAAATTTTCCCCCTTTTTCTGTTATTACTGATTGATTGTTTCACTGTATAACTGAAATTATCGACTTTATCTCAAGATAAGACTCACTAAATTATAGGATTTTGAAGCACTGATTTGCTGGAACCGAGTCACGCAACATTCGGATTTAAACACTCATTTATTTAGTTAAGTATTGGTTACCATAGTAACAAAAATTTGTTTGACTGTTCTAGGATGATGTTTCTCAATTTAGTTCAGATAAAATCTCTATTTATCTATATACACATAAATTTGCGAAAGTATAAAATCACTCCAAACGTGTGAAACTTGATATTCTTTATGATTGTTCAGACTTAAAGAAAAGCAAAAAAAAGTTGAAAATATTTTGTAAAAGTGTAATTATCTTGATAGGTGTTCGACGGTAATTAAAAAAAAAATGCTTCGCTTCCTGCTTGTGAACACAGGGATGGGATGTTCCTCTTTGTCTGAAGTTTGGGCAATGTTAATTATATTCAAAGTCTTGGAGGTTACTTAAATCGAATACCATATTTGAAATCCAAAGAGAAATTTTGTACGACACATTTAGAAACATTTATCTCAGTTTTTCTTTCAAGAGAAAACTGATTTTCAAGACTTATTTTCCTTTTAAAGTTGGAAACCGTGACTTACACGAGAAAAAAATGTTAAATAAGACAAGAGTTAGCGTTGTTAATCCTCTCTGTTCGAAAGTTTTTATTCTATATAAATCGAAAATACGAATATAATTCGAATAAACTAAAAAGTAGTTTTTCCAGATTCATCCGCTATCAGACAACATTTTGCCATTTTACAGTTTATATTCCGATTTTAAATGTTTGTCCTATGTGAATGAAGGTTTACATTAAACTTAATTGTTGAATCAATATTAAATGTTTGTATACACAAAACCGCTTATCTTATAGATTTTTTCACTTACTTATCTACTGATGTATAAAATTAGTATCATCAATTCAAATATCTCAACTCTTCAAGTTTAATAACTGCTCTTTTCAAACTTGACGCTCGGTGAATTTTCTTATTTCAGATTACGCGATTGTACGCCTTATTTGCACTTGTTTATAAAATACAACATATCGCGTATTTTGAATGTGAAATAGAAAATACTGTATGAACTCATACGCACCGCGATTTGTATTCTTTGCATATACTTAGAGATAAAAAAACAAGTGAAGTAAAACAGAAGTTTTTTAGAGAGCTCTCCCTATTCGATGGCTCAGCGTTAAGTCTGAAGTCGTTATAAAGCCCATTGTGTAGCTCTGAACTTAACAACAAGCAAAAAGGATTTTAAAGAAGTAGAAGTCACATCTCAGTTGATATAAGTTATTAAACTGGACTCCAATATGTGTTTAGCAGTTGTTTCTATATTTACCAAACTCAAACGCTACGATTGATTTGGTTTCGCAAGGTAATTACCATTCTATGTAGTTACCATGGCCGATAGCGTTCTATCGAGTCGGGATGTGCTGGTACAAGCGACTCCCATTGTCAATAATATCCAAACACTATCGATCTGTATTGAAACAAATATGGGTAATGTTTATAAGTAGAAAACTTTGTTTTAAAATTCATTTTCCAACAGACATAACTCTCTATAAAAGTAAATATCTTGCTTTCATTTGATTTCCCGCCGCGTTAGACGTAACTAGGAAAATACGATTGAGGCGCCACCATGATTTATGTGAACGAAAGTCTTTCCAGTGCGCATTCGTTTTCTGACGGGAGATGATTCTCATAGCACCTAAACAACTCCTGCCAGGTTAATAGGGGTTGGATGAGATGAGAGATGGTGTGTGAGTTTAAGTAGTGGAATCGCTTGAATAAATAACAGGGTTGATATACCTCGTGGTTGATATTGGCATACCTCGATGTTTGGAATATTTTCACTACTAATAATCTAGCATAAAAGGGAAGAAGTGTCTTGAAGTTAGCGAAAACAGCAACAACAAATAGTAACAACAACAACAACTGCAGTTGTGTCAGTAAGAGTGGTAATTCATCGATGCGGATGTCATGTGAACTTGATAACTGTTAAGTTTTTGTTAAAATATTTCAGATAGTTAAGTAAAACAAACTACACTGGAGAGAGGAATACTAAAAGTAGATGAAAAGCTTTGGGTCCATCATCGATTACAATTAACTGAGAGTTTGAATTGTTTTATTTAAAAAAATCCGATAAAGATCACGAATTGTGAAAAAAGAAACTGCATTACTTGCGCAGAGAAACCATGAAACCATAGCGTCTGGTTATGTCACCACAACGGCATAGAACCATGGGAGAGTTAATAGGTGAATCGCGTGCCGGTTTAGTGGAGAGATTAGAGCTCGGAAAGTTAGACTGTGGATCCACAAGATCACCCTTTCAAATGTCCCGCACCAACCTACTGGGTAAACCAATTAAATCCATTAGTCGCTGCCGTGATCCCCGCTACAGGAGGAAGCAAGTAATGATCTACAATTTTCTGGAGAGACCACATGGCCTTAAACCAGCTCTTTACCATCTCAATATGTAAGTTAACCATATGAACTGTTTTGAGTTAACGTGTTAGCTAAGGCTGCGATGTAGCCTACTTGTAAAAATGTAAAAATAATGTATATTTCGATAAAAGAAAATTGTATCTTGATAAACAACAACTACTGCAAAAAAGGGGAAAAAAACGAGATGGAAAACAGCACAGCTGAAGAAACTGGACAGCGTATATTAAAGAGATAGGAAGCCATTTCCGTAGAGATTTTATTTACCGTATGCAGTTATATCATAGCTTTGTGCAACATATTAAATAACATAAGCAAATACATGGTCATAAGACATTTTGTGACGATTAATCATATTTTATAGAAGTTGTAGATAAATAATTCCCAAATTTATATTATTTTACATTATAGAAATACAGCTGCGTTGTTTCTGCTCATAAGCAGATATGTATTTCCAGTTTATTAGTTGTAGCGCGAATTGAGTATTTTGATATGTTTGAGCAATTGGCTGACCTTTGATTTCAAATGAAATAAACCTTTATTTTCAATGTTTCGGTAAGATACCTTTATCAAGGGACCACAGCACTGAAGTAAACATAGAAACTTACCTTCTAACTCTAGTGTGAAGTTATAATAAACACGATAGTTTGTTGTGAATTATTTACCGCGTTTTAAACTGTTTAAAACATTAGTCTTTTCACCATCTAATTATACTACAGGAATCTTTCTTTACTTTCGATAGACTATACTACCTACTTTCTAGCCTTCAGTTTTTGTTCAAATGTATTAAAAATTGCTCTAAATTTAAGCTAAAACATTAATTCTAAAGTAGCTCTGTTTTGTAGCCCTATTAGCTAGATAAAGTATAGTTCTGCAGCTAAAATGATTACTATTTAGACAGAAACATACTTGAAGTAAGATAAATAATGTTGATTAAGACTATGTTAGTAACATTAAAAAATAACATTTTGTTTTCGGCAAGATTATTTGTATACTGTAAATCTATACAAAGATCACGGTGTAAAATTAAGGAAGTGTTTGTTATTATTAGTTTCTTCATTGACATGTGGAGTATAACGGTCCTTTTGAGCATCTTGTTCAAAACTGTCAAAATTAGAACAAATTGTTGATCAGCCTCAAAACCTAGTTTCGTGAAAATGGCCCACAAATAAATCATTTGAATACTAAGAATTGAAAACGACTTACTTAAAACCATAACTCTCTAATGATTCGCTTATGGCAAGTAGTCGAGTAATTCTTATTAATTTATTTATGGCAAGTAGTCAAGAAACCTTTATTAATTTATTTATGGCAAGTAGTCAAGTAATCCTTATTAACTTATTTATGGCAAATAGTCAAGTAACCCTTATTAATTTATTTATGACAGGTAGTCAAGTAATCCTTATTAACTTATTTATAGCAAGTAGTCCAGTAACCCTTATTAATTTATTTATGGCAAGTAGTCAAGTAATCCTTATTAATTTATTTATGGCAAATAGTCAAGTAGCCCTTATTAATTTATTCAGACAGAAGTGAAAGTGTTGTACTAACAGCTTAAAAATAGCAGGTTAAGAAAACAAACCTCAACCTTTTTGTTCTTCAGAACAAGCTATTGACGTGCGGACTGACTTCTAGTGTATATAGCCAACTAAAAGATTTGCTTTAGTGAACCTTATTAGACACTTCAGTTTAATTATCCTCTTGTCATTTACTCAAAGGTTTCTTTAAGGAAAGCCCTAGGGTTTGCCTTATAAGACTGGGTTTCAACTCAAGTAACGTGCACCAGTTTTCCGTGTCAGTAGAAAAACACTAGTGTGGCGCACAGTTCTCAGTTAATTCTGTTAATGACATTAGAAATTTAACTCAATTGATTCTGTGTAGCACGATATCATATTGCACTGATCCTACTAATTAGATGATGATTTACACTTTCAATAATAGTGGTGTAGCAGAAGCTATGATTATACAAAATTGGCCTTCATTAATCCAAAGCATTCTTAGCTTTCGATTTCCCCACACCTAATCATTAGGCAATAAAATGAATTCCTAAGGTTCTAATCACGTGTAATTGATAATAATTAGTCAGGAACTATTACAGTTGAAACTTAGTCCATTTCTTACAGGCTTAACTTACACGTTTTCATAAAATAAAAAGCCATGCTTAGCATTCGCAAACTTCAAATGCATAGTTTTTTTGTTGTTGTTTTAAATAACACATTCTAAACGGTCGTGAGACAAGCGTATATTGACAAAACTAAAGGACTAAGTCTAGCCAAATGAAAGATGCACTCTTTAAGAACTGAGCTCTCCAAAACAATATGTTTTCATGGCATAACTAAATTCAGAAAACAAAAAGCCTACTAATCAGAACGAAACTAACTAAAAGACAAGGTATTTATACCGTGCATATTTCGTTGCTTATAAACTCATTGACAATATATTCTAAGTTGAAATCTTCAAGCTTTGAATTAGGGAACCTAAGCAAGTATTAAGGCAGAGTAAACAAACACAAGAAACAGAAGAATAACGATCTAAAATAGTGAAACTATAAATATGCACTACCGGCACTTGTGTTTAATTAAAAAAATATATATATAATAAATAATTAACAATAACG